AAAAAAAACTTTGTAAAATTTTGCATTTAAAAACATGTTTTCTTATATGTAATAGACCATGCTTCAGTAGGCCTAATTCTTGATGAATTTAAAAGCTGTAAAAGATAAATCTCTGATTGCCTATTTCAAATTTTAACATTTGCAATTATTTATCTCTTTGAACAGGTATATCCGATCTGAGAGGTCAATAATCTTAATTAACTTCTGCTTATCTATCATCTCATCAAATATCCTTATACTGGTTGGACAAACTCAGACACATAATAAGGTATGAATGTTGGTTTTTCTAATTCCTTTTTTTGCATTTCTTTAAGTTAGAATCACTCATTTGTCATCCAAACATTAATTGCCACAAAAAAAAGATAAGCAAGAAAATTTGTGTACTTATTTCTGGACTAAAGTATTCCCTATGCCTTCAAAAATGTATCTCCATTGGGTTGTTCTCTCTCAGATGCCCTGTTTTCTGTGGTAAGAGTGTTTTCTAAACACCAAATCAAAGCTCAGGGAGTTCAAAGACCTGAAACATCAAAAGCAAAAATTGTGACTCAGTATACTAATTGTAATAGGATTGCCACTACGTTTTGGTCTTCTTTATTAACATACTGACACTCAAAAGGCAACCATAAATTGCTTAGAAGTTGCATGCTGCTCTCTAAATGAACTCAAGGAAATGTGCCTACAGGGAGTAATAGAAGAATGTCCTAGCTGGGCTGTAACTGTTGTATAGGCACTATTCCAGTTGCAATGCATATTAGACTTTTTAAAAAATTTACTTAAACCAAAGAATTTTAATGTTTGACTGAGATGGTGATTCTTTAACTACAATGTTCTTTCTTGTGGTATTAAGGAACATGGTTGTTGTTATTTTTTAATGTTATTTGTGGGTCATATTCCCCAATACATCAACCCCTTTCTGAACTCCTTTAGAAATCCTCCCCCACTTCCAAACTCAGAAGAGCTTTTCAAAATTAATTTATTTAAACTAGCCGGTTTGAAAGCTTAAGGAACTAATAGTTCCCTACAGTTCTGGGCATCTTGTTTTTTCCTCCTTACCTCTGACTGAGAATTAAGTTAGTTCTTTCATTTTGGAAGTAGAAATTCAATTTTTATTAAATGTTTTGTTATATTGGATAATCACAGTATATTTATCAACCTGAAAATTCTTTTGTGCTTACATTCTCTATATCCTAGACTAAGGGTGATGATATTTTTTTTCCCTATAAGGACTTCTGAAAGGCATAGAGTTCAAGGATCTCTCTATGGCCACATAGTACAAAAGTAATTTTTACTTAGGTTAACAATTTTTGTTATCTTTGGATGGGAGGAGGGGAGAGACATAGAAAAGGCTGCATAACTCACTTGATTTTTAAAAATTAAGAATGGGGGCATTTTAAATTGTATTTAATAAATACAGTAGACATTTTAAAATGTATTCTACTTTTATCATTATGATAAGTTTAACTGAAGAGGACAGATAAATTGAAAAAAGGGAAAGGAAAAAAGTGAAGGAAGAAAGAAAGAAGAAAACAATATTAAAAGGGAGTAATTGGGGCAGAATGCTTGAAAGGTTGGCTTAGAGAAGGTACTGACTGAGTGATTAGTGAATTGCTTATTTCACATTTTGTTTATAGGGTTTGCATTGAGGATGGTCTCATAGCTATCCTTAGAAATGCTAATTAATTGAAAATCACTCTTTAAATGTTCTTTGGCTTAAAACATTCTGAGATTGCACTCTGATTGGAGTAGACTCACTCTGTAGCCCATCCAGGGAAAAATTCTTCAAGTTACAACTACAGTGACCAAATCAGTGATATAATTGGGTCATAGGTCAGGCTGAATCCTTATGGTGGAGATATTTCCTCTCTTGCCTTGGACTGTATTATTCTTTTTATGGATATTTTGGTAAACATGCCTCATTTAGCTAATAAAAATAGCTTACATTTATGTATTACTTTGCCATTACAAAGTACTTCCAAGAACATTATCTCATAGTGATTATCTAAGTTATTCTATGATATAAATAATACAAATATTGCTATTCCCATTTTACAGCTGGCTAACCAAAGTCTCAGGGAAAATAAGTCTGAGTCACAATTCTAGTATGCTGACATAATCTAGAATGGAATTCCTAATGTCTTTAGGTCCCAAGTGCACTGTTCCTTTGGCCACATGCTAAACAGCCTTTCTTCATTTGGACATGTACTTCTAAAACTGGAAAATCTTTGAAAGTTGTTATATCCCATGAAATAGAATAATAGATTTATTCAGATGCTTTTGTTTATTGACATAATTATTTATAGTCTAAATCATGCCTTTATTTTTTTATTGTCTAAAATCTGGGGGGAGGAGAAAAAATGTTGGCTACAATGACTTTCTCTCATTTACTGTGTACTCAGAATTCAGAAGGAATACAATTTTTTATTTTGTGTAGTCCTCATAGGGAAAATAATCAGTCTGGCTTAGAGGAGAAAAAGCTGCCATTGCAGCTAAGAAGCCTTGTGTTCAAATCTTAACTCTGCTGCATACTGGCTATATCACACTAGGCGGATCACTTCTCTTATCATTAACTTGAAAACCCTGAGGTTATAAATTTCTGGGAAAATGTAGACCTCCATTTTGAGAGGAAATTTCCTCATCCAAAAAGAAATTACAGCTTCAGTCGCTATCTCTCAAAGTGAAAGATAGTCCACATCATACAAGTCATTTCAGGAAATGAGGAAAAATTAGGATATGCCTACCAAGACGTTTGTTTTGTTTTGTTGTTAAATTCTTCATTGGATCACTGAATAGTTGGTTCCTTTCATCAGTGGAATTATAGACTAAAATTGTGTTATCCAAATGTCAGCTAGGATTCTGACCAAAAATGTTCACTTTGGTGATAGTAATAATGGTCATTGATGGTCTAGATGGTAGTGATGGTGGTGATGATGAGGATGATAATGATGAGTAAACAAAATTGATCTTCATATACAATGTTCTTTCTATATTGCTACACATCAGAAAAACTTTGCAAGACTACTTAAATATTTTGTAGACAGCCCTTAGAAGATAGATAAATATGAAACACCAAGTTCTCACTTTCATTATCCCTCTTTCCCATGTTTGCATGGGAAGAACTGTGGGAGTTCTCACATGAAATCTATACTTCATGTCATCAATGGAAATTTGCTATATGAAATATGGGCCTGTTTGAACTGGATTGAAGAGTAATAGTTCCATTTAAAAAACAGGAAAGGGAAGAAGAGAAAACATGTCTATGAGAATTATAGAACTAAGGTATGTGCTCCAAGGAAAAATTGAAAAATTACGATAATGATGGATGGCAAATGGATTTTATTTTGGTTGTGCATGAGACTATTGTGCTACTGTGAGAACTTGTCACTGGGTTTAATTTCTTACTCAGTTTTTATTTATTTTAAAACATTCCCCTTAAGAAAAAAGAAATGGAAACTTTAGGGAGTTTGTCAGTGTGCAAGTTCTCTGATTTTGCCTACAAAGAATATCTGAGCTAGCTTACAGTAAAAATTTACATTTGAAATGGATTTATAAAATATTTTGAGCTGTCATTTAAAGATCTTACAATTGTTATTTAATATATTCACCCTTTGGGCTCCTGAGTTTGTAGGCATTTTATTTTTTAGGGCAAAGTAGGTGGGTAGGATGCTAAAATTTCTCATTGAACAAAACCAAAATGTAAGCAAGCCTTAAACTCTCACTTCATTTGCTGATTTTGAGGAAAGTAAGAATTTCAGATATCATTTCCTATATTTATTCCTAAAATAACAGAGTAAAATCAATTATAATACACTTCATTATGTTTTAAACTTTCTTGTAAAGTAGAATTGCACCTTGATCTCCATGAGTATTTAAAAATTTAACTAAAAAGTTTATACATCTTTTAAATATTAACTATATAAAAATTGTACCTTCAAGAAATCAGTCACCTCTTGAGATGCACAAGCTCTTTGTGTTGATATTATTTATGTATATGAGAGGAAGGGTGTGTGGGTGGGTGGATGTTAACTGAACCTGTTGAGTAAAGTCACAATTATTACTAGAAAATTAAAAAGAAAACTGTATAGGAAATGTAGATATTGATGTATTTATACCAATATCCATAAGTGTGAGTACAAAGAAAAAGTAAAAATTGAAGACTAATATTCATACTAGGGGACAGATTCATGGATTAGGTTTCTGTTCATATTTCTCTTATAAATATTAGAAGCTCATTCCTTTAAGAGTTTCTACCTTGAATACAGGATTAAGAACATCAAGTGTTAACTGGTTTAAGCTATGAAATGTTATGTGAGATTCAAACACGCTCCCATTTATTCTCGGACATCAATAGCTTCTATCCTCCATCATCTTGTATAAAATAAAAAAAAATAATAATTAGTCTTGACAATAGACATATAAGTAGAATCTTGATTCATATGCTTCCTGGTTGCTTTTCCCACTGAGGACAGTAGCAAGTGTTATGTAATAAAGTACAACATACATAGATGGAATATACTATGTGTATTATTTATACTGAGACACATCTATTTATATCTTACACTTGTGTATGCATATACATACATATGTACATATACACACATGTATATATGACTATACATATGCATATACATACACACATACATATACATACATATATACATATACACATGTATATATGACTAAATCTATACTGTATGCTTAAAGGAAGTACTGGATATATATGCTATATTTTATGATCCTCGGTGGTAAATCAAATTTAAGTTTATCTACCTCAATTTTTTTCTAGTAATTTATATTTGATATTCTCAAGGTTTAAAAAAAACTCCTTGGATTCTGTCATGTACATGTTTGTTTTCTGTATTGGGACTAGCTTTTTCTGGTTAGAAATCTTTATCAGAGACTATCCTAACTTCACTATGGCAAAACTGAGATATTCTTTATACTTAAAAAGTAAATTTTTACATATTGTTTAATGTAAAATGCATAATTTATTTTTAAAAGAACTGGACGAGAAATAGATGTCAGAATATAACTAAAGAGGAAGAGAGAAAATTTCAAATGCTCCCATTGCTAGAACAATTTTTCTTTAAAGCAAACAAACAAAAGGAAACCATTTATACTTGTTCAAATATTCAGTTTTAGATAATTGGCAGACACTTTCCTCCCTTGGGATATCAAGGAAAGAAATTCTTATTAAAACCTTTAACTTCAAGCACCTTGCTAAAGCCGTAAGATAAATGAGATTTTGTTTGTTTTAAGAAAGTCAATGCT